CCGGAGCGATGCAGCCCCCCAGGGCCACACTCAGCCTCTCCAGCCCCCCGTACAGACTTACTCCTTTAAGCCTGGCTCAGAAATGACCAAGCTGATCCCTCCCACCTGCCCGCTCCCCCTGGCCTGGCCCTGACGTCAGGGAAGGCGTGTGGATGCGTGTGTGTGCGAGGCGCACATCATACACACATCAGAAACCGCAGATCCATCAGCAGGCAGCCGGCAGGCAGGCAGCCAGCCGGAGAAAGCCGCCCCAGCGCCGGGCTGCAGGCGAGACCACTGCTCCTCCTCCTCGCAAGGTAGCGGAGGAGCGTTCGGCCCCGCCGAGCACCGATGCTTTGCAGAGCGCATTTCCAGGGAGCCCCTCGCTGCTAAGGAGGTGAGTTACGGGAGGCACAATGGCCATCCAGCTCGCCCAGGCTATTGTAGCCAGAGGTTAAACTTCGTGTACCGCCGCCTTCTTTCAGAACTGATTTTTCCTTTCGACGGCGGAGAGGTGCGAGGGTGAAGCGTGACTTCCCTTCTCCGGTTTGGTTATTCCCCACCAGCCTCAGGAACAATAACTCCTCCGGGGGTGGTGGCAGCAGCGTTGCGTGTCTGCTTTGGCTGGGGGGCAAATAGCCAGGGCTTTGCCACGGAGGGCTGAGATCAGCTGAGATGCAGCTCTCAGATTGCTGGGGCAGGAGGGAGGTGATTTATAAAAAATCTGTCTTATTAAAGTGGACTGATAATGAAAGGGTCTGGAATTGGGGTGTCGTTGGGACTAGCCGCACTATTCATTACTGCAGATAGCAAGTTAGATCCACAAAGGAGGAAGGAAGGACGGACGTGGACGAAGACATTTGCACCAGGTCTTTGAACAGACACTATTCTAATTAAAAAAAACCCCAACATAAGAAAACAAACAAAGCCCAGAAACTTGGTATTTGGGAGTGATGATTATGCATATATGCTTAAAAGGTAAATCAAGCCTCCATGATGGCTTCTCCCTTTGCTTCCCCTTTGCATCTGGCAGCCTGCTTGCTCTCCTCCATGGCCTCCCCGAGAACTGGGCAGCCCTGCACTGACTAAGGGAGCTTTTTATAATCGATCCATAAAGGTGACATTCATATTTTAGCGCTAAGCAGGATGTATCGTAGGCGAGACTATCTCAGCAAAGATCCCTGGAGTTGTGAGCGTGATTGGCTTAGCTGGGGAGGGGATGCTGTCAGTGTCTATTCCCCAAAAACCGCCTGGTTTATTTCTCCTATAGTCATTTGTCTCAGCAAAGGGGTATTTAACATCCAGGAAAGGCAAGGAAATTGCTTTGCTTGGTATTTAACTCTTGATGGCATGATCCTGTAACGAAAAAAAGCTTGGGGGGGCGGCGGGGAAGCTGAGAGGCTTTTATTAGCATCGGACAGAGACAGCATTTATAAAAACCTGCCAGACGCCGAGCCTGTGAACCTCCTCCGAGGAAGGGAGGCTGGAGAAACGTAGCCTGGTGAGCTACGGCTGCGGTGGCCGTGCTTGTGGTACCCCCTCCCGGGAGCCACCCTGGTTCCCCAGCTCCTTCCTGCCCTTTACAATAGCCCCTCGGGAAATGCCGAGTTAGGGTCTCTGCCGGCCACTGCATTGTTGGTGGGTCCCTCAGCACGTGAATGTCCTAAGCAGCTGAAAAACTGAATATTTTTTTTAAGCATCAAGCTCTGGGGACACGCTCCCACGTCTGGAGGGGTGTATCTCTTCTCTGTTTCAGCTCATGTCTAGACAGATTGGGTCTGGGGGGGGCATCAGCGTCCCCGAGGATGGCGGCGGGCCAGAATGTCGCTTTCTCTGCTCCGTGGGGTGAGGAGATGGCTGCCAGCAGCGTGCTGTTGGAGCTGGGGTGTCTTTCTGACATACAGAGATCTTTTTGCTACTGGGGTGGAAGGAACAGGGAGGTAAACCTGACTCCTAAACTGGGGGCACTGGCAATCGTGAGGGATGGAGAAAACGTGATGGTGAGCAGCAGGGAAGAGCATGTGCAGAAGCTCGCTGGAAAAGGCAGCAGAGGGAAAATAACCTCGGCTCCTTGGCTGGGGCCGGGGGAGAGGTGGCACTCGGGAGAACCGAGCCTGGTGGCAGACGGCATCTGAGCTGGGGATTTGCAAAGGGAGGCGGCATGTGAAAGGAAACGGCCCATAAAGGTGACAGTGAGCCAGCCCAAAGGGTCACGTCCAGAGCCTGAGCGCGACGGCTGCCGGCAGAGCGGCCGCCCATCCATCCGTCCGTCCGTCCGTCCGTCCTGGGCAGCGCAGGGATCCCGGCGGATGTGAAGGAGCACAAAGAAGCGCTGCGCAGGAGGGCCGGCTCGCCGAGGGCGATTAAGCCAATTAAATATGTATTCCCCCGCCTGGCTGGGGGATGCGTGAGGGGTTTTTCTTCGCTGCCGCTAATGAACGGGGAGTGGCAGATAGAACCTGGTGCCTCTTCAAAAGGTTCCTTCCCCCCCTTCTGGGGGACCTTGAAAAGGTGTTTAGTTAAACAAGGTCACAGCCAGCACCCAAGTCAATGTGTTTGGCTTTAAAGAGAGGGAGAGAGATGGTGATTTTGTTTGATAAACCGCAGACCTTTCAGTTGCTGGTGATGAATGGGGTACTTGGATCTCGAGATAAAAGCTGATGTGTCTACTGCCTGTCTGCCTTAATTGGCCTGGGCTCCCTGCATGCGCCTGTGAGCGCTTCCGACTATCAGCTCAGCTTGGAAGCCTGCCCTCCTAAAAATATAAAAGCAAAGTTGGCTGCCACTGCCAAAGAAAACCCCATCACCTTGGGGTTTCAGTCTGAGATGGTTTCTTTGGGAAGGGGGAAAGGTGGACAGGGTGAGGGGTGCTTTTTACAAAGAGCATCCTTCCAGGGAGCGCTGAGATCAGTGCCGCTTACACATGTCCTTGGCTCAGAGGACTGTCACCCCAGGGGACCCTCAGAGCAAAGCCACTAAGGGGAGATGGAGAGGAATGAGGTGGTGGTGGTGGGGTTATGCTGGGAAGAATTCTCATGCCCCACGGCAGAGCCGGGCTGCTGCAGCCTCTGCTCACCTCCTCAAGTGACCCGGGTTTTGTCCCTGTACTGTATACGTGTGTGGGGTGGATACGGTGTCGTAGGTGGCATCTGATGGGCCAGGAGAGACCTGGGCTGGGGAGAGATTCTCTTGGCCCTGGCAGAGGTTAGCATAAGCACTGGAGATGGAGGAAGGGGGAAAAAACCTCCTGTCCCCCAGGTGCCCCCTCCTTGTTGCTTGCTGGGTCTGCAGTGTGGAGAAAGGGCTCAGGAGAGGATGGTAGGGTGGAGCAGAGGGAGGGAAGGAGAAGGACAAGGGAATGGAAGAGGCTTTCCCTGCTCTCTGGTTGGGCTGGGAGGGGAGGACACACTGGGGAGGACAGGCTCATGTCTCCCCTCTTCTCTCAGTCTGCTTTTGCTGTGAGTTTAATTTCCTTGGTCCCTTTGTTTGCTGCGGGGATTTAAATGAGATGGGAGGCAGGATACCGCCCCAGAGCCCCCCGTGGTGCCAAAGCTCCTTCCCAGCCTCAGCTTCACCGGCACTGGCAAAGCCGGGCATTCAGCCAGCGGGCCCCACGGCTGACCCACAAATCTGGGGTGCTCAAGCCAGGCACTGGAGCAGGGCACGGGAGGGCAGCCTCCCCACAGCCACAGGATGGATGAGGGTCTCTGCTCCAGCCCCTGTTCCAGGCAGAAGTTAGGTGCAGTGCCTTGGTTACAGCAGGCTCTTCAGGGATGTGTCCCAGGGGGGTTGCACTCCCCCAAGGATGGGGATCCCACAGCCTCGCTGTGCCCAGTCCTTGTGCTCATCCCAGTGAGCTGCTGCCCCGTGCCAGGGCTCTCCCCCATGTCCCTGTGGACCAACTGGAGCCCCCCAAAGTGCCCGTGGGTGGTCGTGCCTGGCTCATTCTCTCATGTGGGGCAAGCTCAGCTCGTGGGGGCAAATGGCAGCCCTGGGAGGGCACCCTCTGCTGCTGTCCTGGGGCCTCAGGAGCCCGCTGTCTGCCTCCTCTCCCCAGCAATGCCCAGCATGCTCCTGCTTCCACCACCACTCGCCCCCCGAAACCAGGAAGCCTTCCAGGGCACCCCAGCCTGGGCTGGTCCCACAGGTGAACCTGGGGCAGACCTCCACTTGGCTGCCACTTTGTCTGCCCGTGCCATGGTGTCCCTGCAAGGCTCCCCCTCTTGCATGCCCCTTTCCCTTCACCTCTTATTTTCCTTTTGCCTCTGGGAAACTTCCATTTTTCCAGCCCCCTGCAGACCACCGGCGGAAGCTCTTTCTCCTGGCACCAACCAACCCACTCAGCATACTAATAGTTTGCTCCAAGCATCGTTATTCAGGTTAAATACCCTCCATTGTCCCTAATCTGATAGGGAAACCAAAAAGCCTTGTCTGTGCAAGAGCACAGAGGAGGTATGCCCTGGTGGAGCCATTTTCATAGCTGTGGCTCCATGATATGGCAGAGAACCGAGGGCCCCTTCTCCCAAATCCTCCCACTGGTCCAGCCCTGACATCTCCTGGGAAGGTGCAGGACCCTGCAGCAACACTTGGGGACCACATCACTTTTTGCTGCCCAAAAGCAGCCAGGCTGCTCACCCACACAGCCATGGTGGTGGGACGGTGGGCACAGATGGGAGCAGAGAAGCAGCTCGGTGGTGCTCTGGCTTTTGGGTGTCTTGCTTGGTGCTCCCTGAACCTCTCTGAGCTCCTCAGGCATGGGGGAAGGAGACAGTGACCCCAGGCATGGGGGAAGGAGATGGTGAGCCTGGGAATGGCGGAAGGAGACGATGACCCCAGGCATGGGGGAAGGAGACAGTGACTCCAGGCATGGGGGAAGGAGACAGTGACCCCAGGCATGGGGGAAGGAGATGGTGACCCTAGGCACGGGGGAAGGAGATGGTGAGCCTGGGAATGGAGGAAGGAGGTGCTGAGCCCAGTGGGCTGTGAGCTGAGCAGTCCCGGTGCAGGGTGATCCATGGAGCAGAAGGGAAGTGTATGTACTCCAGTTGCTTTATGGCAGAGAAAAGCCACTGAAGCGCATTAAGGGTTTGGTGTAGGCACAGATGGGGGAGACATTTTGGAGGAGTTTGCGGCCACAGATGGAAGTCATTTTGGAGGGCAGGAGGGAAATGGTGGCTTCTGCCTGGGGGTGGAACTGTAGTGTGGCCTCTGTCGCCTGGACCTTGGGGTGAAGCTTTTCAGGGCTCATAGGGGGCAGTTGTTAGGAAACAGCTAAGGTGTAGGTGGGCACCAAAGTGGGACTGGCAGTGGTCTGGCTTTGGTGACAGGCAGAGCCCTCCAGGAGAAGCAAGTAGAGGTGGATGAGGGGACAGGAGTTGCCTGGTGTCTCCCCAAAACTTCAGCTGCTCTAGAAACCTTTTCCCATGTCCTTGGTGCCTGCTAATTTGGGAGTGGAGGTGACCCCCTTTCACACATACCCCCAGGGTCTTCGCATCTCAAGGGGCAGCAGATGAGTCAGAAACCAAATTAAATATTCTCCGGGTTTCCCAGTGTGTGCAGGTGTGGTCCCAAAGATGTTGCATGCCCCAGTGGGGCAGGAAGGGCTGGAGGGGATGGCGGGGAAGGCGACTAACTCTGCAGAATGTCAGGCTCCTCAGCGCAGGGTGATGGGGAAGCCCTTAAGCCCAAGGGGTGCTGGAGACAGGTGAGCCCTCACCCAGTGCCCCCAAAGAGCGGTGCTCCCAAAAAGCCACTGGCATGGGACACCCCAAGACAGACACCCAACATCGAACACAACAATTGTCTGGGGGAGGAATGGGCAGAGAAAAGGCTTTCTGAGCAAGTGGCTGCGGGGCTGATCGTGCACCAGGGGATCTCACTGAGAGGCTTAAAAATGCACAACCCCTCCAGTTCCGTGCTCAGGGTGGTTTGACAAGGACAGCCTTGCCCACTCTTGCTCCAGCTCCTGCTCTTCAGCAGGCGCCCTGGCCTTCAGGGTCCATTGCTGTGTCTTGCACATCCTCTGGCAGCCAAAGGTTGCAGGGTTTCTGCCCCTTGGGGCTTTAACCCCTTTCAGACCTTGTGATGCCAACCAAAAACTGGAGCTGGATGACAGCAGTGGCAGGAGGTCGTGCTTTTGTTGTGGCTTGTTTGTGGTGCTCAAGGGCTGTGTGTGCTGCTGGTGGCCCAGCAACAGCCTCCCTGTGTCCCTTCCCTGTAGGGATGTGTCTGGGCGGGCAGCAAGCCACTGGTTGGGGCTGGGGTCGGGTCCTAAATCCCGTAGTGCTGAGGCAGCCTCCAGCTGTGGGGAGACCTCAGACCCCTGACCTTGACTTACCTGTTGTCTCAGCCTTTTTCCTTCATCCTTTTTGCAGAAATCTTGAGCTGGGGAGAGACCTGAGAGGCCAGGGGACCAGGCATGCTGGCACTGCGTGGGCATCCTTGCCAAAACAGTCCCTGCCTGTGGCAGCCCGTGCTCAGCTGCTCCTTCTCCCAGGGCGTGCTTTTTAGTGACTTAATCTCTAATATATGGGATTATCCTGGAAAATGAAAGATGAAACAATGAATCGAGCTCTTTCTCTTAGGGTTTCATTTCCTGGAACATCCCTGGTTGCTCCAAGCCCGGACAGGCTTGCTGGG